TTGTCAGTTTCAGTGGAAAGCGATGCAGGCTGAAGGATCCATTCTGCAGTAGGAGAGGGGTGGCGTCTTTTTCTAACCGAATAGAGGGTACCACTGCCTTTCAACCCCCATGTGATCAAACTGAAACTATAGTCGATCCTCAATCGACATCAATGCCCAAATAAAAGGAAAAAGTATTGAAGAAAACATAGGTTTAAAGCTGAAGCTATTGGTCAATGCAAATGGTAGTTTTCCTTCAACTCTTTTTTTTCACCAATGTGCTCCACCCTTATTTTATAAACTGCATGCATTCATTAAAACTTAGATCATTCGTGAAACAAAGCCAATTTGCAGTGAATAATGTCTGTAAAAACGTTACCGGTCTACTGTAGAGCCTTGCTGATGACAGATCGCAAAACGTTTATCAAAGTTGTCCAGGTGACTGGATGTAACGTTATGGATGGAGTAGCGTAACGTTAGCAAGTGGCTACACAGGAAACATACAACTAGCTTGGTCGCTAGCTGAGCTAAAAATGTGTCAAAATGTCAGACCACATCTAATGTTTCACATGACATTAGGCCAATACTAGCTAAATAACATCTTTAGACTTACCTAACGTTAGCTACTTACTAAATAGCTGTCAAAATAAAGAAAAAACATCCGAGTGCATACGCCCTTTTCCAGTATTGAACATTCTAAAATCGTGGGTAACGTTACCTAGCTAAAGTTATCTAGCTTGTCACAAATAGTATTCAGGAAGATAGCTAGATGTCGTTTTACGCTCGACAATACCACACATTAGATTGTAAGTATTTGTAGCCTGTATGTGAAATAACTGTCTCAAATCATGACCTACATTGATCGCAAGGTTGACTAGACTAGAGCGCTCACGCTAGCAATAACAATTCGAATGAGAGTTGAAGAAGCAATTAACTCAACTTCTTCACCAATGTACTCTGCAAAATAGAAGTTAAAAAGTTAACTAGCTAGCTACATCGATAAAAGATATTGAATCAAGTCTGTGCATAAACTAGTTAACTAGGTTAGCTACCTACACACATAATTGATGAGTTTGGCAAGCCCGCTAGCCAGCCGGTTAGCCTACCTAGCTAACGTCAAAATTATTTCCACTGTCTGAATAACGTTAGTTAGCTACCTGGCTGGCTAGTAGCGAGCTAGAAAGTTGATATACAATTATCGAATCAATTTGATCAACAACACTTGAAAAATAGGTGCAAATTCGGATCAAATAGTAACTTAAAGCAGGTTAATAAGTTACTTACATGCAAATCGACAAGTGCCACTAGTTGGTTAGCACAGTAATTTACAACTCTGATGGCCAGCTACCTGCTGCTCCAAGCGGCCTGTCCGCCATTTTGAGACATAGAAAGGAGGCGCAAAAATTATAGCCACATCGTCATTTTCCCCACATAGCGTTTCTTCGATACTCAACAATATCTGATGCAAAACAATTTACACTTACCTTATAACGTTCGTTTCTCCTGAAGACCCTTAGCCAGTTCGGACAGTTATACAAGCCAAGAGTATGTTTTTCGTTTCAAAATAAGGGACTTCTGATCTCGATTTTAAAGTATGCGGACTTGTCTCTCTAGCAATTCTTGTTTTACGTACGGCAGTCGCCTTCGGAGTCGGGGACGCGCTTGCGTTCTCAAACTGACAGCGACGCGCGCGTACGCCCTTGATCACAACCCTACAAAAAAAGAATATACATTGTTGCAAACGCCCACTGATAAACAACACTAATTTTACTTAAATAGCTATAAACACTCACTATTTTTGACGACACATCATTACTCAGCCTCTGTCAATGGTGTCGTTAACGCCTGTTTACTGTGGATATTCAGATTCCAGAATGTTATCAGAACTTGATCTCCATTGATGACGTGCCATAGTTCTATGAATTATGTACTTTAACATTTGTGTGACAGGTCCACTGGTAGGCTAGCAGAGATAAGCAACCAGTCGTTACAATTGAAATGCATGATAATGATATCATTGCATCTAATTGCATGTCCAACAAGCTGGATAGCTTAGAATAATTTCATACATTTAATAAAAGTTTGATTAGAGCAGATCACATCTCAATCTAATACGTAAATAAGTAGTTATTAAAAATCCAAGCCAAGTGTTATTTGCTAGTTTTCTTTATTCATTTTAATACAAAAGCATACTCAGACCAAAAATAATTAGATTGTTATTTTGTAAAGAGCAACAGACAGGTACCACACAGCCAGGGAAGCAGACTTTTAACACTAGAAATGTGCAGAAGAAATCTCATCAGTTCAAGAAAAAAGAGAAAACAGAAGAATGAAACCTCAAACGGACAAACCCTCGTTTTGAGTGCTACACAGACGGATACAATGCAAGCTGATCAGTGTGCGTTAGACAGCCATCTACAGTGAGGTGATAGGGACCCGATTTGTACTGTCTTTGCCCCATAGGACCTATTTTCTCCCTTCTAGACGAGAGGGCAGAGACAACCCAGCTCCGTGTCAGTGCATCTATGAAATGTTGATGGTCAGAGCATTCTATTTTTCTATGTAGTAAATAGACAACTAGATTGGTGCTTTCTTGTGTGCTGCTTAGGTGAATAGATGTGTCATCTTGACAAATAAACATTTTTGTATCAAATTGGGGAGAGTAAATATACAGGATAACAGTATCCTATGTGCGACATCGATTAAGTGCTGGGAGTCATTTGCAGAGCTTCAAATGTTCAAGTGACTCCTCCCCAATCCCCTTATGGCCTTACTGTCCGAAATAAATTCTCAAAATGTAAATGTGCAAACATTTCACTCAACATTCCGGTTCTTCGTTTTGTAATTGGACCTATCAACATTTGGAGACATTCAGAATTTAAAGGACATCCATCCATACAAACCCAGGGGTTTACATAAGATGAAGCAATGCGTAATTTGAATGATCTGGAAATGAAAAATGTTAAATTGACACTAAAATTATACATTGTCTTCAGCTTTGATAAAATAAACCGGAGGTCTGTCACTCCCTACTAAATTAATCTGAGCCTGACAGACGGTAGTAAACATCTAAAGAACAGTCAGATCAGTTTCTCATGCAATTACTTGAATGTATCAAGAGGAATATTACGACGCAATTAGAACAGAATTACAGCTTTACTCCAACAACAATTAGTGCCTTTGTGATTAAATAGAATAGAAGCACCATGATTTTATGATCCATTAAAAGAAAATAGATGTCTCTAAGCAGACCAAAATTATTTTGTATAATTCTCAATGAGTTTATTCTATCAGAAATGGGCAAAATCTCAAACAATAGTTTTTTGTAAGAGTTTCAAAAAGTTCACCAATGTTCATCAAGCAGTAGTCTTTGCAATTTTTCAGGTTCACATCGTCCTCAATTCTATCAAATACTTGTTTATTTTGCTTCCCTCAAAGTCAAGTGAGTGAGAAGCATGTGAAATAGTTACACTCTAGCATTGAGATTTGCTTGTGAACGTCCATATGGGACAAAAATATTTTCCAAATTAATAAAGCCTTTTCATTTGTTTCTGATGGTTCTGAAGAAAGTACTCTCTAGAGCATCACCCGATGGCCACAAAGCGTAATGCAAGACAGGACTGACATTCATGGAGGAAGTTGAACCTGAAGGGAGGAAGGAAATGCAGATATACAGTACATACTTCAAAAAGGAAACCCGTGGTATCCCTATGAAAAACATGAGCAAAAATAAAAAGCAAGAAACCAGAAAAAAAACTCATTTTAAAACGTTTTGAAGAGTTGACAAGAAAACCAATAACACCCTGGTTCCGTTTCTAAACGTAAATAGGCACAAATCACACACAAAGTTCTATTGTCCCACCATTTTTTTAGGAGCATAATAATCAAGAAATTCATTACAGTAACTGTTCTTTCCCCTCTTGATGACAGCCTTTCACTTACAATGACAGCAGTTTGTCTTGCAGCGACACAAGTGCAGCACTTCAAAAGGATCAGTTCCAGCATCATTTCTATTGCTTTAATCACATACATTTAGACACTGCAACAATTTTTAGAAAGACATTTGCAAGGGAGGGTCGCACACAAGCGCACACAAAACACACCTCTATCAGTCTTCTTTGGTATACTGAAGAAGCCCTTCTCAACCCACTTTTGGTGGTGCTGTGTGTATGCATTTAGACAGACAGCACTTGAAAGTGCACTCAATACTGATGAGGAAACTTTGTTCATACATTGCCTGCTGTGGCCTGACATACTGTCAACTTGTTGAATGGGTTTACCAAACAATGGAAACATAACAGTTTACTATTTTGAAACAGACAAACAATGAACAAGTCTATGGCCATGGTTAAGTCTATTCTATCGAATGATAGGGAGAAGTTTCTCATTTAACCACTTCATATGAACAGATTTACAACATTGCTGGCCAAGAATGTTACATGAGAATAAAAGTTTGCATTAGCCGTCCCATGGTTTACTATGGCTGCGTTTACACAGGCAGCCCAATTCTGATATTTTTGCCACTAATTGATCTTTTGACCAATCAGATCTTTTGCCAATAATTGGGCAAAATATCTGAATTGGGCTTCCTGTGTAAACACAGCCTTTGTGTATAAAAATACAACATTTGGAAAGTCGTGGCTTACCCAACCTAGTCATTATACTACAAAGCAGCAAGTGTCACAAACTCATCATGGCCATATCCGATTCCTTCTCGCCGACTACACAAACACACACAGAAACAAACATACATGCACATATTCTTTCAAAGTGGAAAAATAAAAGACTGGACACATCTAACATAAGAGACCTATAGAGTCTACTGCTCAAGCCATAGTTGGACATTTCATATCTGTATTTCCAACATTAATCAAGTACCTGTCTAAACCCCATAGACAGATTTATTTATACATCTTTTCCACTGATATTTTCTATAAAACAGACATGGCTTAAAGGTAGACTCAGCGAAATGATGTTGCCACGAGCCAGCACCGCAGATATTGCAATGAGCAAGATGCATGACTTCGCTCCCACACAGTATCAGCACATGTGCATGGGTTCGCTTCACACTGTTCGAGTGTGGTAGGTACGGGACCAAAACAGTGGGTGAGTTTAGCCTCGTGCTTCAACGCTCTTAGTTGTTGCGGAAATTGACCCACTACGCCGTTTACTTTGTGCACCTACATCATATCGCTGACTCTACCTTTAAATGAATGGATAATTGACATACCTAAAAATGTAGTCCCCCCCCCTTACCATTTTGCTTTTACAAAAAGATGAATTTTTACTGAAAAAAGGTGTAACAATCAAAAGATTGATTGAGAGCTCACATGCGTCATAGCCTGTTTTGCTGCGATAGATCCAAGGAACACAGCAGCCACCCACCTGGGATAAAACCATGAAATACAAATCGTTTTTGACTGACCATTGGGGACACTCAAGAGTAAATGGGTGATTGGTGAGGATTAACAAGACTAAACGCAAGAGAAGGGAGTTTACATTCTGTTGCCCAAAACAGAGAAATCTCTTAATTTTAATGACTGTTTCTTAATCTCACCTAGCACACAGTAAAAAAAATCCCCTGAGTTTTGGGACAGGGTGTTAGAAGTTATTTCGAGGCAAAATGGGGCCATGGTGAAACTGGAAGCCCTAGTTGCCTCAGTGGCTCTTTCAGGAGTTTTGGAGGGGTAAAGAGTGGTCCTTGGGTAGGGGGAACAGTTGGTTGATGTGGAGTTGGATGAACAGTGGATAAGGCTCTGGTAATACAATGTCATGGTCGTCCTTGGTCGCCTTCTCTCACACACAGCCACACACACTTACACAGCAGCAGATATCAAGTTGACATTCGTTCTGTTTCTTTACCAAAGCTCGAGGCTGCAGGCTTTCAGATTGAACATGTTAACATGGATTCTATATTCTCCTACCACTGTATATACTGTAACTCCTGCTGTGTTACTCCTTGAAGCTCCTCTTATAAACTCTATACCTACTGTATACATAGATGTTTCTCTTTGACTGCCCCGAACAATCCCTCACCCCTTTTGTTTTTATTGTAGATTTTTTAGACAGCTCAGTTCTCGGGTCCACATGCTCATTCAAGGAGATGGCTGTTGCATCACGTCCTCTCCCTTGCAGAAAGTAGTGTGGTGTGGAGGGTTTGACGTTAATCAACGTTAACGTCCATGGGTATTTTGTCGTCTAGCTCTAGTGGACTGTCCACAGTGAGCTCCCCCACACTCTTCCCTGACTCCTGAAGCAGCTGCCGCCGCTGGACCTCTGCCTTCAGGTTCTCCAAGTCCTTTTGGCTGCAGAGGAAACGGGTTGGGATACCACAGGGGTTAATGTTGAGCCCTGACACATTTATATTTTTAAGAGGGGATGGAATTCCACAGAGGTCAGTACTGGGTGCTGACAGGTTTCTATTTTCAACTCAAACTGTAAAAATAAGGTGCTACTTCACTTTACCTGAGGGGTATAAAGATGATGCCGTTGATGATATTGAGCTGCTCTAGAACACTCGCCATACTGGGTGCTGTGAACTGGAAAAAGTGGTGGAAACCAACAAAATGACACACTGTACTATGAAACTAACACCCACAATACATTTGAAAGCATAATCTACAGACGCAGGTATGTTATCATCTGGGGACAATACAAGGCCCTTTGAAACCCATATGAAACCATAGCTAGGCCCTAAGCCACATACCTTGAGTGGCATGATGCTGGCGTTGGAGCCATTCTTGTAGATCTCATTCATGGTTCTCTGCAGAGCCACAGCCTGCTGTGTGAGGTACTTCAGGTACTCTGAGCTCTCTTTAGTCTTCTCGTGGGCCTCTCCCACCTGAGAGGAGATGGAGGGAAAGAAAGTGAGAAAGAAAAAGCTTAAAAACTAATATCAGTTGTTGGTAATCTAGGACATATTCTTATTTCAGCAAATGTTCTTAAGCCACTTCTGAAGAGAGGACGTGTAGAGCTTTGTGTACTGTAGATGTAGATCTTACCTGGTTTTTGTAGATGGTGTAGCCCTCCTTTTCATGCTGGAGCGCAGAGCGGAACTCTGCCTTGCTCTCGTAAACCCTCGCAACCAGATGATGACTGCAGAAGAACATTTGATTTGCATTAAATCAACTGAAGATAACACAAACTAGAGTATATAACAGGAAATCAGTTAATATACTGAAACAGATGTTCAGTCACTCAAGGAATAACTCTCCCTTGTACTTACCTGAGGGCTACTTTGAGGGAGCGGTGTCCGTGGTATTTGGAGTTGATGGCCAAGGCATTCTCCAGGAACCTCAGAGACAGGTCGTACTCCATTACTCCGTGCAGCACCAGGCCAATGTTACTCTACAGGAGGAGACCCGGGACCACAGGGAGAACAGGTGTAAGGAGAACTGATTTAATAAAGGTCACACACAAACACACCTGAAAGGGTTACACAAAAATGGTACATAACTTCAGCGTTAACGTGGTGACATATACACACACAGGATGGTTTCAATCAAAAGAAAATAAATGAAATACTATGGCCCACTCACATCTAGCAGCGCCATCTCGGGGTGGTCCTCCCCACATACCATCAGCATGAGGTAGCGGGCACGGTATAGCAGCTTCAGGGCAGTGGACAGCTGACCATTGGCAAAGCAGTACAGAGCCAAGTGCATCTGGGGGGAGAAAGCAACCAGAGGCATTTAGAAACAGTTAACATGGACTGAAATACATTTTATGATGAAACAAGAACATATTTTTGAAAAACTGTAATTTTCCTGGATACGTACATATTCCTGGATAGTGTTGGGGTGCTCAATGCCCAGCACTCTCTCACTCATCAAGACAGCCTTCTGTTGGTTACTGAGAGCCTATGGACAGAGAAGACGAGTCAGGACTGTTTCACTGGAATTGCTGTGGCCATTTGTTCTCATGTGTGAGAAGAATATAAAATGTGTGTGTATTATGTCTAGAGCAGCATACCTCGTGGTGGTCTCCCATGATGTAGTTGAGGCGAGCCAGCAGACGCAGGCAGGCACAGATCTCTACGTGCATGGCCCCGTACACGTTGTTGAACAGGTTCAGAGCCTCGTTGATCAACTCACAGCCCTCCTTCAGGTAACCTGCACACAGAGAGCACAGAGACCTGGTTAACAACTCAGGCTTCCACAATCGTTGTACAATGCAACAGAAAGTAATGTGAATGGGTTCAGAGAGTTGCATTGTTGCATGAATATTTGTATGTAATAGTGCTTTTGCATGGTTTGTATGGGGAGGAAGGAAACATTTTTCAGCTTTCGTGTGTGTGTGTTGCATGTGTGAGTAGAGCTTCATTTGCATATCTGTTAGCACTAGGAGCACCCATGCTGATCCTGCCCAGCAGGACTGGTATCCACCTCACCTTGCTGGTCCTTGGCCTATCCGCTCTGGAAGAAGTGGAAGGTGTGTGTGTGTGTGTGTGTGTGTGTGTGTCGCATGTACTGTATGTCTCCAGCACTAGGAAGACCCACGCTGATCCTGCCTAGCAGGACTGGTACCCACCTCACCTGGCTGGACCTGTAGAAGGTGTGTGTGCGAGTTGCATTATAAGTGTGAGTAGTGTTGTATGTACTGTATGTCTCTAGCACTAGGAGTACCCATTCTGTTCCGGCCCATGCTGATCCAGGTCTAGTAGCCTCACCTTGCTGGACCTTGGCCTGTCCACTCTGGAAGAAGTGGAAGGCATCTGAGGCCTTGGGGTTGACGTGCTTCACCACAGGGAAGATGTTAAGGATGTCCTCCTCTGTGAAGGCAGGCTTGTGGCGACTGTCAAAGTTATACTCCTTTATCAGGATCTAGAAACGCAGGGAGGCAGGAGACACAGGAAGCGTGTTAGGAGGGGGAGGGTTAAAAACGTGACATCGTTAATTTTGAAGTACAATTTGACCCCTGGCCCCTACTCCCTAGGCATTTCTGTAGATCTGAAGGTATTGGACAGATGTATACAATATGTTGAAAATTGCACCTAGTCTAAATAGGGATTGATGGGAGTTACCTGGATGCCAGCTTTGATGGAGATTTCTCTGAGCAGGGTGATCTTCTGAAGGCCGTATTTCTCCACTACCTGGTCGGCATTCTCGCTGTAGAAAGATGCATGTTTTTAGGAAAACATACACCAACTTTAACCCAAGCGCACTCACCAGTGCAGGCCGAAGTGGTAGCTTGTTAGTATAGTGTGCTAACATCAAGCCTACTATTGTGCCAACATCAACCCTAATTCCCACCCACCAGTGCAGGGTGAAGTGGTAGTAGCTCTGGGCCTCAGAGACTATGTTTTTCCACAGCTCGCTGGGTGTCAGGCTGGCCCACGCCGTGTTGTCCCCTCCCCCCGGGACGCGGTTACGACGTTTACGGTTCTTGCGGCGCGATACAAGCTCGTCGGCAGGCAGGTGTGCCACGGCATCGGGGAAGGAGGACAGGAAGCAGTTGAGGAAGTGGCTGACAGCGGCGGAGAGGGCCGACAACTCCACACCCTGGGAGACGGAGTACATAGTCTATTGTTCTCATATTTAATCCATTTCTTAGGGAGACAAATAAATAGCAAATATCTGTGTCATCCTAAGTACATCATAATTCTACAACAATCATTGCTTGAAAAATAGCACTCACCTGGAGGTATGTCTTGAAGATATGTTTCGCACATCTGGTGATCAACTCGCTGATACCTATTCTCTTCAGAACAGAAGAGATACGAAACCATTTAAGAAAAAGGAAACAAGCTGAATGCAGATTAATCTTTATGCATTGACCTGCACTCTGTCTAGAACAGTCTAGAACAGGGGTGTCAAACGTCCGGGCCCGCGGGCCGGATCAGGCCCGCAAACGGGTTTAATCCGGCCCGCGAGATGATTTTGAAAAAAATAAATACAAATAAAAAATTATTTTGTAAAGTATAAAAATGCGCTGCAATTTTTCAATAAAATAAACTGCTGTTCCAATTGCGTCCACTGGATGGCGCAATAGCAATTGAGTTAAGCAAGCAAACTGTTTATACCGGGGAAGAGCAAGTAGGTCAAGCACGTGCAGCCAATGAGCTACTTTGTTTTGCCCGCGATATTTATTACGGCTTCTACTTTTAACATTATGTGCTTTGGCACCCTCATTGCCCCAATATGTCTCTGTCAAAAAAGAGAAAAGTGGACGCAGAGTGCAGAGTGTTCCAAGAAAAATGGTCATCCTATTTATTCACTGAATTGAATGGGAAAGCTGTATGTTTGGTGTGTTGCAGTGCTGAAAGAATATAACCTTCGTCGCCACTATGTGAGTCTTCATGCCGACAAATATGACAACTTTCAAGGACAGCGGAGATGAGAGAAGGTGAATGAACTGTTGGCGGGTCTGAAGAAACAGCAGTCTGTGTTTACTCACAGCCGAGACATCAGTGACGCTGCAGTGAAAGCTAGCTACCTCATTGCTAATGAAATCGCAGTGGCTTCAAAACCATTTAGTGAGGGTGAATTTGTAAAAACATGCATGATGAAGGCAGCGGAGATTGTGTGCCCTGAAAAGCGGCAGGCTTTTGCAAATATCAGCCTGACAAGAAACACAGTTGCAGACAGGATTTCCGATCTTTCAGTGGATTTGGACAGCCAGTTGAAGCAAAAAGTAAAGTCATTTATTGCGTTTTCGGTTGCAATTGATGAAAGCACGGACATTACAGATGTTGCACAACTGGCCATTTTCATCCGCGGAGTTGAGGACACATTGACCGTCACGAGGAGTTCGTGGAGTTGGTGCCGATGACAGATACAACGACAGCAGCTGATATTTTTACCGCACTCGTCGGCGCGCTGGACAGGGTCTGAGTGGACTGGTCCCGCGCTGTCAGCCTGGCTACAGATGGTGCGCCCTCAATGATCGGGAAAAAAGCAGGCGTTGTGACAAAGTTCAGAGAGAAAGTGCAATCTGCAAATGGAGGACGTGATTTTTTGACTTTTCACTGTATTTTGCACCAGGAGGCTTTGTGTTGCAAGTCATTAAAGATGGATAACGTCATGAAGGTGGTCATCCAAACTGTTAATTTCATCCGATCCAGAAGCCTGAATCACCGTCAGTTTGACAGCCTTCTCAGAGAGAAAGACCACATCTATGGCCTGCCATACCACACTGAGGTAAGATGTTTAAGCCGAGGTGCTGTGCTGAGGCGTTTCTTTGATTTACGAGAAGAAATTGAACAGTTCATGGAAGAAAAGGGCAAACCAGTGTTAGAATTTCATTCCGCAGAATGGATGCAGGACCTTGCATTTATGGTGGATGTTACAGAGCTCCTGAATAACTTGAACAAACAGCTGCAAGGGCGCAACAAAGTTGTCACGCAGTATTATGACAGCATACGTTCTTTCAAGTTGAAGCTGTCATTGTGGGAGACGCAACTTGCCGGTGATGATGCAGCTCACTTCCCCTGTCTGAAAAATGTGTGCGCGACCCAACATGTGGCAGACATGAAGCGGTTCAAAGATAAAATAACGGGACTGTTACGGGAGTTTGAGCAATGCTTTCAGATTTATGTTTATATGTTTTTATGTTGATGTGCTATTGTTTTTAATTGTTTTTATTTTATTTGTATATTTAACCTATTCTTGACTCTGTGGTTCTTGCACTTGTTTGGGGAACAGGATTTCATTATTTTTATCTACATTTCTGCCTGAGAAATGACACCCTGATATAGTTCTGTGATCTGTGATATACTTCTGTGAATCACTGAGGCATTGTGTGTTTGTGTGTATTTTCTTTAGAATTTTCAAATAAACTTGACGTGTTTTATGATTAATAGTGATGTTGTGCTTGTACTATTTTGGACACACTGTCCTCAGGCTCCAGCTTTATGTTGTATGTTGATCGTATTAAAACAAAGAAAACTATCTGAAGTTGTTGTTTTTAAGTTATATATACCATGATTTTTCCGGTCCGGCCCACTTGGGAATAGATTTTCCTCCATGTGGCCCCTGAGCTAAAATGAGTTTGACACCCCTGGTCTAGAAGGTTAGCATTATTAGCATAATGATATCATTGCCCTTCATTATAATTCTCCTCAGTCAGTCCTCAAGATCTTATGGAGGTCAGGGGTTCAGGCTTACATAGAAGTGCTCCAGCTGTGCCTTGGCTGGGGTCTTGTCCACGAACTCCAGCACGTTGCCTAGGTAACGCACGTTGATGCCCCTCTGGTGCAGTGCCTCGGACAGCGTGGCTCCATCCATGGGCAGAGCACTGTGGTCCAGACAGTCCTTCACCTGGAGGGAGAGACATAAGTAAAATAAATTACCACATACAATGTAAGAAATTACCACACACAACAAAATACAAATAACCAAACAAACACACCAACCCACACACCCACAAATAGCTAGACAAACACAAACGCTAGTGATACAGAGATGTAAGTAAATATGTTGTAATATAGTGAAGGTAATTACTGCTTGTGCGTGGTACTATGTTGCTGCCCTGAAACTTACCAGAGATGGGATCTGACAGGACACCAGGAAGGCTGCAGCATCCTTCAACAGCTGCTTCTGTTTCTGAATGTCATCCGCACTGTCCTCAGGGAAACGCACTCCTGGGGGAGAGACATCAGAATTTTTGGGGGGGAATGAGTGTCAGTATAGCATGCAATAGTCTTTTATTACGCTTTAGTTTCATGAATGCGGAAATATGGCAATTCCAGTGAAGAGCTTTGGAGGTACCAGAAATCGATACCCAAAAATACTATGCATTATAAAAATGAGTACTGTACAGCAGAGCCAGCTGCCACACCAAACCTCTCCTAAATGCACTACATCATCCACCAACATAAAGTGACAGTTTCCTACCTGGAGAGAAGATGTCTGGGTTGAAGCGGATGTCGAAGGAGGTGTTGCTGATGGAACCCACAGCCTTGCAGGCGTTGAGGACCACCTCTCGGCTTTTAGGGTCTTGATGGAGACAAGTCAGGGAGGGGTTGGAGAGATCAGGGGAGGAGGAGAGAGATGTTTAATGAATATCAATATAACAAGTTACCTGGGCAACTCAAATCAAAATGATATGGGGTAAGTTCCCCAAAAGCACTACTATCATCTTTCGCCCAATGCCTACATGCAAGTCCATTTTGAGTTGAAAACCACCACACTGTTGCAGATCTTAGTTAAATAACCTCAAACCACCTTGTCATTAGAGGTATTGTCAAGCAGGCAGTAGGACCAGGAGCCAACTCCTGCCATCCCACACACAACCAAGGATTCCTTCCTTCTTTCTGAAGTCACAATCCCTTTGATTAATTGTCACACCAGCCAATGGGAAATCAACTGGAGAGATCTGTGGTTATTGGGTTGCTATATCCCACACTGCTAGTGATGTTACTGGGGTCCATGCTCACCCCATAGGAGGCTAAGAACTGGACAGGGACACTAAGCCAGGTGGAGAGAAGCAACTAAGACACCAGCATTAAGAAGTCTTCTTAGCGGAACCATGGATAAACACTCTCGCATACAGATGAAAAACCACACATACACTCTCGCACACACCATTCTAAATGCAAGTCTATGATGCAAATAAAGAGACCTCTTCTTTAAAAGCATTTCTCCACCGACTGAATTTCCCCAGTCTTTCTCTACCCTGCAATGGTTTGGACATACCAATACCGGATCCGTCTTCCGCGGCTAAGGACTCAGCCAGCTCTTTGGCCTGGGCTAAGCCCAGGATACTATCCTCAGCCTTACCCTCCAGAGGGCTCTCGCACTCCCCGTTCTGAATCGCCGTGGCAATGGGCAACAACGGCCCATTGGTGGTCACCATGGGAACCACATTATCCTCTGTAGGGGTTGCCTGGGAGGCATTAGTGGTTGTTGTTGATGCAGCAGCGAGACTGTCTGTTTCTGTTGCTGGTTCTGCCTTGGGGGCTGCTTCTGTGGTGGTGGCTTCTGTTGCTGCTGCCTGAGGGGCATCAGAGGTGGAGGTGGTCTCCGTCTGGGCTGCGTCTGAGTTGCCGTCAGTGAGGGTTTCTGTGGAAGTTTCTGAGGACTCGGCCGAGGCATCAGGGGTCTCTGTGGAGGGCAGGGCTGGAACGGCTGCCTCGGGGCTGCTGTTCTCTGTCAGGGCGGCCATCTTGCTCTCCTTGTTGGCTTTCTGCTGCATCAGCTGGAGCGCTGCCATCTTCATGAAGAGGAGGTACCTGAGGAGTAGAGTACAGAATCTTTATTATCCCTGAGGGGGTGGGGCATAGTCAGTTACGTGAGCATTCAAATGTGCACAGACCCAATCATACACTAAAGGGAACATCAAATTACCATCTTGAGGGACATACCGAGGGCCTCAGTACCCTATCGATGGCACACAAACAACCAAGGAAGCCCATAAGTAACCACCAAAACACATGTATGTGTATGTATGTAAAAGGTAGAGTCTCCATGCTATACCCATGGCACATACACAATTAAAACGCCTCCCTAAAGCACCCTACAGTACCTGTGCTCGACGAAGGCCTCGATGAGCTCCTGTCGGAGGCAGGCCAGACGGTGGCGGTGCTGGCGGGGGAAACCCTGTCTCACACTCTCAGGGGAAAGCTCCTCCCCTTCCACAGGCAGGAAGTTCAGGTCGGGGGGGAAGGTCCTCAGAAGGTCCAGGATGTAGTGGCGTCCATCATTGCCAATTATGCCCTTACACTCAACAGAGGAACACAGCTCCACAGACTCATCCTTCTCATTCAGCACATCGTGCCTCTGGACCTGGGGGTGGGAGAGTCAGTTATATTATGAAAGAGAGAATGTGATAACCACAGTATGGCAGGTTTTGTGGCATGGCAGTCGATATACAGTTGAAGTCGGAAGTTTACATACGCATAGGTTGGAGTCCACAAATTCCTTGTTAACAAACTATAGTTTTGGCCAGTCGGTTAGGACATCTACTTTGTGCATGACACAAGTCATCTTTCCAACAATTGTTTACAGACAGATTATTTCACTGTATCACAATTCCAGTGGGTCAGAAGTTTACATACACTAAGTTGACTATGACTTTAAACAGCTTGGAAAATTCCAGAAAATGATGTCATGGCTTTAGAAGCTTCTGATAGGCTAATTGACATAATTTGAGTCAATTGGAGGTGTACTTGTGGATGTATTTCAAGGCCTACCTTCAAACTCAGTGCCTCTTTGCTTGACATCATGGGAAAATCAAAAGAAATCAGCCAAGAACTCAGAAAAAAAATTGCAGACCTCCACAAGTCTGGTTCATCCTTGGGAGCAATTTCCAAACGCCTGAAGGTACCACGTTCATCTGTACAAACAATAGTACGCAAGTATAAACACCATGGGACCACGCAGCCGTCATACCGCTCAGGAAGGAGACGCGTTCTGTCTCCTAGAGATAAACGTACTTTGGTGCGAAAAGCGCAAATCAATTCCAGAACAGCAGCAAAGGACCTTGTGAAGATGCTGGAGGAAACAGGTACAAAAGTATCTATATCCACAGTAAAACGAGTCCTATATTGACATAACCTGAAAGGCCGCTCAGCAAGGAAGAAGCCACGGCTCCAAAACCACAATTGAAAAAAGCCAAACTACGGTTTGCAACTGCACATGGGGACAAAGATCCTACTTTTTGGAGAAATGTCCTCTGGTCTGATTAAACAAAAATAGAACTGTTTGGCCATAATGACCATCGTTATGTTTGGAGGAAAAAGGTGGATGCTTGCAAGCCGAAGAACACCATCCCAACTGTGAAGCACGGGGGTGGCAGCATCATGCTGTGGGGGTACTTTGCTGCAGGAGGGCCTGGTGCACTTCACAAAATAGATGGCATCATGAGGAAGGAAAATTATGTGGATATATAAAAGCAACATCTCAAGTCATCAGTCAGGAAGTTAAAGCTTGGTCGCTATTGGGTCTTCCAAATGGACAATGACCCCAAGGTGTGGCAAAATGGCTTAAGGACAACAAAGTGAAGGTATTGGAGTGGCCATCACAAAGCCCTGACCTCAATCCTATAGAAAATGTGTGGGCAGAACTGAAAAAGCGTGTGCGAGCAAGGAGGCCTACAAACCTGACTCAGTTACACCAGCTCTGTCAGGAGGAATGGGCCAAAATTCACCCAACCTATGTTGGGAAGCTTGTGGAAGGCTACCCGAAAAGATTGACCCAAGTTAAACAATTTAAAGGCAATGCTACCAAATACTAATTGAGTGAATGTAAACTTCTGACCCACTGGGAATGTGATGAAAGAAATAAAAGCTGAAATAAATAATTATCTCTACTATTATTCTGACATTTCACATTCTTAAAATAAAGTGTTGATCCTAACTGACCTAAGACAGGGAACTTTTACTAGGATTAAATGTCAAGAATTGTGAAAAACTGTCTTTAAATGTATTTGGCTAAGGTGCATGTAAACTTCCAACTTCAACTGTACATTGAATGTCTGTAGGCCAGTGCAGTGAAGAAAAACAGTTCAACAAATTATACAGTTCTACAAAACATATTTAAGTTTGCTTACTCTGTACTGACAAATAAAGTAAATCCCAAACAATTAGCAGATTTAAAAATAAAGCATGAAACTGGCATTATCATCATGATATCCTCCTCCTCACCTTCAGTGGTCGACTGGTCCTCTCCAGCAGCTCCAGGTACTTCCCATGAGACACCACTGTCTTCCCAAAGTCGATAGACCCGTAGATAACGCTCTGCTCCTGCTCTCTCTCCAGAATACCAGGGATGATCGACTGGGCCGTGACACGGTAACCACGATAGTCCACCACCACTGTCCCCAGGGTGTACAGTCCCTCCACGTCTACGGCCCCGTAAGCCCGGACACCGTTGAGGTCGTTGGTGGGAGCAGCGTGCGCGGCAGCGTCCCCGCCCAGCTCACGGTAGTGGTCGCGGACATCGAAGCCCAGGGAGAAGAAGATGTTGTTCCAGATAAACATCTGCATACGCGTCTCCTCGCCAGGGTTGATGGCCATTACGTTGCCGTCGATCACCGCCATGGAACCACGAGTGGCAGCAGCCGCAAAGTCACTGTGGACCTGGAGAGAGGGAGAGGGGAGGGAGAGAGGAGGGTTAGAGAATAAATGCTTAAAGATGTAGAGCAGGGTTTCCCAACCCGGTTCCTGGAGAGCTACCCTCCTGTAGGTCTTCGCTCCAAACCCAGGTGTTACTAACCTGATTCATCTTATCAACCTGTTAATTATTAGAATCAGGTGCGCTAGATTAGGGTTGGAGCAAAAACCTACAGGACTGTAGCTCTCCAGCAACAGTGTTGGGCAGTCCTGATGTAGAGGATGAAAAGAAGCGTAATAGTCTGTGCACACTACAGGATATAGACGTAAACAGAGAAACGGAGCAGAAAGGAGGGTGTTTCAAGAGGAGAATCGATGACCGAAGCTCACTGGAGAAAGCAAATAAGCGAGAAAGAGTGCAGGAGACAGAAGAGTGGAAAGGAGTTGGGCTTCAACTACTGCTCTAGGCTGGCTCACCTTGAAGATGGCCCTCTCTCTCAGCAGGCGTTCAGGCAGATTCTTTCGGGCCAGCTCTCTGGTTGTCTGCAGCTCCTCATTCCAGTCTCGCGTCTGAATAAATAACACAGAGACCCCATGTTACACTGACTCTAAAAACCTGACTATTATTGGTGTGTGTGGACATGTCCATGTATGTGTTCCTCGTAGCCTAGGCACGAGGTGTACAGCGTGTGTACCTGTCCAGGGATATGTTCCTCATAGCCCAGACGAGAGGTGTAAGCGTCTTCAGCTCTGACACAGTCCATGGTGTGGTCCACCTGGGGGGCGGTCCAACTGTACACCTGGAAAGGCGTGGCTATCCTCTCAAACGGATGGCGCTGGACCCTGCAGGCAATCAGAAACCAAATTAGCCACGTATCACAGTGGGAGTATTCCTCAGAAGTAATGACCAGAATTATCAAGAAAACTGCCTGGCTAATATTGTTAGCTCTGAAAAAATATACATTTCTGATAACGACTAATAATTGTATGCTTATCAGTATATGTTTTCCCCCCACTACACAGCAACTAATAAAAAACACAGTTCATTTTGGTTAGTGTAGGCCACTTACCTTTTCTTCTGCAGGGCAGTGAAGTTCTTCTTGAAGGCAGGGCTTATCTGGCTCAGCAGCTCAACCAACGAGTGGCTCAGGAAGCTGGGGTTGGCTGGCTTGGGGTTGAAGGTGTAGGTGGTCGACCTGGAACACAACACCATGGTCATCTCTCATTATGGTCAACTCTCTGACACTTTTTCACACCATCTAGCCAAACCTAACCATACTGTGCTGGCTCTGATATTTTCCTTTCTCACTTTCCAGTACAGTTCCAGCAACTGGTAATCAGTAATCAGGCCAACACAATACAGCTCCGTTTGGCTCAGCTCAGTAGTGTGAAAACAGTATTCGTTAAGTCTAATGAGAAACAGGGAAAGCCAGACTCACTGGTTGAGGTAGAAGCCACGTGTAGAGGCGGTGATACTGATGTGTCTCTCCTCAACAGTCACCATATACAGGTACATGAGATCACCATGCATCTTCCTGTTGCCAGGAGGGGGGTTCCAGCCACTCATAGTCAGGACCTTCAGGCATTGCATGGGCTACAGAGAGAGAAGGGGAATCAGATATGGACATTGGAATGGAACTTAAGACTTGTGGTGTGCTAGTGTGGATATTGGAAAAGGGTCATAGACTGATTACTTCATCTGCACTTTATGGTTACTTAACTAATCTTACCCTTTATTCTACAACCACGTTTACTTATTCTAGGAAAAAGTGTACTAGTGCCAGGCTTGAGTAAGTCTGGCAAATCAGTCAGCTATTAAAAAATGGCTCCTACAAGCAGATCAAAGGTTGGAGCAGAAGCCAGTAAACTACAAATGGACACACTTCTTGAAGAATGTGACATGTTTTGAACTGTCAGACAATATCACAGAGATACACAATCCATGTAACTGAGACGGCATTAGAATGATCATGATTAGCTTGCTGGCAACACCAGGGTTGTGGGTTTTGATTCCTGCATAGGCCACAAATATGAAATATGTGTCCACTACGAACTGTATGTCTCTTTGGATAAAAGTGTTTGCTAAAATCACCATAATTACCATAATTATTACCTTCCAGTCCTTGTTCTGTGGCTGGAGGGGCAGCAGGGGGCGCTCTTTGCTGCCAGGCAGGATGTGTTCTGGAGGGGTACAGTCTATCTGCTCCAGCTCACTGCCTTTCTTCTTCCGCTTACCACTGTCTGCAGAGGAGGAGACAAGGTCACAGGTCAGACTAATGCAGCTAGACCAAAGATTTGTATAGCCTGCTGCCTAGGACACATACATACACATTAATATGTAGGACAAAGGCGACTGGATACCTCAGAATACCGACTGAAATATCTCTCACCCCAATTCTCGTTGACAGACCCACCAAAACACACACGCAAATAAACAAATTGATACGCAAACACACACACCTCCCAGGTCCCCGTCGGTGAAGACGCTGAGGAAGGAGAGGGAGTTGCAGTCCACTCCGTTGTAGGCATCAGACGGGTCCAGGCTTTTCAGCAGGTCTCTGATGTGACGCACGTGGATACGGGCCTCACGCACTGTGTAGGGCTCTGGGGAGAGCATACAGAGAGGACAGCCATTACATTATAATTTATGCAATCTACGGACAGTCTACAGTCTAGGAGACACTATAGGAAGTGAACTAGGAGGAGATCTTACACCTATACAATCCTTAGGCTTTAAGATCAATAAAGTCTAGGGCTAGGGGTTGACTTTAGAACATATCCAAAACACCAAGTCCTACCTTCCACTACTTTGAGCAGGGAGCCCTCCTGCAGGCCCTCGATGGATTTGAGCTCAGCAAAGTTATCCAGCACGTTGCCGTCCAGCTGCAGGGAGAAACAGGTACGATGGCAGGTGTCCTCACGGTCCATCAACACCTGGTGGATCTCCTGCACCATCTCCTGGGGTGAAACCTGGGGGAGTGGGTGGGGGTTAACATCTTATAGCAATAGAGACTGACAGTGTTTGGTCGTACAGCTAGTCCCAATTTGGTCCCTACCTCTCCACCTTGTCCCTAACCCTTCGATGTTTGCAGATCTGAAGACTATGGATAGGTATAAGCGGTGTGCTGGTGGATCTTCCATCCACTATATTGCTTACACCTAACAGATCTGCAGACATCGAAGGATTAGGCGGGTCAAGGGGTGGTCAGCAAATTGGGACCGGCTGTTGGGCTGTCTAAGTATGTACTGTACCTGGAGGTCAAAAGGCTCCGTCCCGGGTGCCTGGATCTTCACGGTGAAACCTGTATCCTGAATCACAATCACTTCCTGTTCGTTAGAATCCTCTCCACCGTCCGTGTCACCACCCCCATCCTGCTTGGACTCCTCCTCCGAATGATCGTGGGCCCCGCCCCCGTTCATCACCGCTGTGTCTGCACTGTGCCCTGTGATTGAACAGAAGGAGACATTCAATGTTGCTTGTTATCTGATTGGACAGATGGGTAGAGAGGGCGTTGCCATGGCAGAGTGACACATATCCAAATTAATAAGGATAATAAGCCTCCAGTTAGCAAACAAAGTAGTGCGTGTTGTCAGATTAGATTACTCCTAAAGGGCATTGTCTACAGTGCCAAGTTGGCGACTTATAGGATCCAAGGAGAACAATAGGATCCAATTAGCACAGAAAACAAGATCTCCAGCTTTTGCCATGTGAGGCAGGGGTATACAGGTTACCATGGTCTGCTTCTCTCAACCTGGAGTTCTTAACCATCATTCAGACTCTTGTACAGAACATAAAAGCTAGTGGTTTGCCTGGTGCCTTTGGCCTTCTCCACATTGGGCACCAGACTCCCAAGGTCCACAACAAGGAACTGTACTAGAAAGTGTGAAAGGAAAATAGAGTCACCCACACAAATCCTCCCCTCACCCTTGTGTGTATGTATCCATCTCCACTTACAGAATGAGTGCATCCTCCTTGACCTCATTAGGTGCCTCACTGGCACAAGGCATTGTAACTGTGGAAACACCTCTAGGTGTAGCAGTCATGTTTCCTATTTACCTCAGTTTAAAAAGAATTGACATTCATAAAAAAGTACAACTAATTTGAATGGTGTGGGTTGGGTTGCCAAGAGGAAAGGCTACATACATAAATATCAACTAGTGGGGCCTGCAGTGTGAAGGGGCTGTTTTCTCTCCCAGACAACTGCAACCAGCGCGCCCTTGTTCAACGTCAAGGGTAACACAGTGTCAGGGTTAACACATAGAGGGGGTGGTTGGGGGGGAAACAGCTGGGGTGGGGGTAGGGGGAATCTACAGTAAAAGAGAGAGAGAGAGAGAGAGAGAGAGATGTAATGTTTACTGTTAATATTTATTGTTTATTTCACTTTTGTTTACTATCTACTTCACTTGCTTTGGCAATGTTAACATACGTTTCCCATGCCAATAAAGCCCTTAAATTGAAATTGAATTGAATTGAGAGAGATAGAGAAATAGAAAAAGAGAGGGGGGGAGAGAAAGAGGGGGAGGGAATGAAAAAGCGAGAATGAAAGAGACTCATCACGCTCTGAATAGCAAACACAACAGCCTTTACCAACAACTGGTCAATGCTACGAGAGAAGACAGACTACAAAGAAAGAGTAAGGAGAATAGACTTGAACATACAATAGGAGCCAAGGGATAATGTTTCTGTAGGTCAGAAGGGAGGGAGGTGAAGGAAGGGATCAACTGTGTTTTAGGAACAGATACAGTGACCTCAAGTGTCTCCAGTCACTGCTCCTCCTGCCCTGTTGTAGAAGCAGACAGATTTTATAAGGTTCCATCAGTTACTCTGGTTCTCCCCTTTGGTGCCCTACTTCTGGTCTGGTCCAAGTCACTCTTCATCTCTCCATTCATTCTTACATCAATGCCCTAGCGATTGCATTTTTCTTAGAGTGGTCACAAACACACAGCGGGAGTCATTCAAGGCCCTCTGCTTTATTCAAGATGCACTTTTCAGCTCAGTTTGACTATTTCTGTAGCTCCTACAAAAATTATATGTGGTACTTGACTCGCATCAATTTAATTAACATTTAAACAGTTTTAGTTTCTCAAGTGGAATTGAGGAGGTAGTGGAAATGCCTGCAAATAATGGTGTATATGAATACCGGCTGCCAATGATATCCAATCAGCACTGAGAAGGTAAGGGTACAAAAGAGCCAGTAGCAAGGCAAAGTGCCAGACAGTATTCCGAAAGCTGAAGCAAACATGTAGCCTAATAATTGCAAAACAGACCCACTTGGCCCAACAGCAGCGGAACAGAGCACGAGGGGTCAGGTGATAGGGTAGGGGTCCAATATTACACAACCTTCTGCATTACTCAAAACTTAGAGCCTAACTAAACTTGTTGAGGTTGAGCCTTCATGTCACTGTGTGTAGTGTAGACAGGAGAGATTAATGTCGTTGGTCACAATTCACGGATGAAAAATGTATGAACAAAATGTATGCACTCACTAACTGTAAGTCGCTCTGGATAAGAGCGTCTGCTAAATGACTAAAATGTAAATGAAGAGGGCAGCAGGTGTCACAACAAATTACAATTTTATCACTACAACTTTTCCCAAAGAGCCAAACCCTTCAGAGCTGCAGTCTATTAGGGCATGAAGATATGGAGGGAAGTGAAAGCAGAATCTGCAAACTGCTGCAGTACTTCTGTCATACTGGCATGCATATTCTGGCCTAGGTGGGTGAGTTAGGCCTACATTTACATTTACGTAATTTAGCAGACGCTCTTATCCAGAGCGACTTACAAATAGGTGCGTTCAACTTATGATAGCCAGTGGGACAACCACTTTATTTGTATATATATTTTTTTTTTTATGGGGGGGGTGGGGGAGGGGGGGGTAGAAGGATTACTTTTATACTATTCCAGGTATTCCTTAAAGAGGTAGGGTTTCAAGTGTCTCCGGAAGGTGGTCAGTGACTCCGCTGTCCTGGCGTTGTGGGGGTGCTTGTTCCACCATTGGGGTGCCAGAGCAGCGAATAGCTTTGACTGGGCTGAGCGGGAACTGTTCTTCCGTAGAGGTAGGGGGGCTAGCAGGCCAGAGGTGGATGAACGTAGTGCCCTTGTTTGGGTGTAGGGTCTGATCAGAGCCTGAAGGTAAGGTGGTGTCTACAGATACAGATTCTCCAACTGAAGGCTTTGCCTATTTAAATAAGAAATATTTATCTTAATAGAGTGTGACAACCACAAGACCAACCTTAACCAGACGAAATGTATAATAATCAACATTTTTCCTCCAAGCAAGCAGCTCTGATCCTTCTGAACATGTAAATCATTGAGGGGGGAGGGGGCAGAAGGCCTCCAGTCAGACCAGCATTCAGTTAAACCAGTTAGACAAAACAACCCCCACACACCCCATCCAGTGCCACCATTAGTATCCTAGCCTCACTCCTCAGGTTGTACAGTAACCAAACGTATCCTAACGCCAGGATAAGGCTCTTTCAGGGCAGTTGGTCAAAGAGTTAGGTCCCTGATAGCATGGGAAGGGTCTGATAGCATGGAAAGGAAGACGAAAGAGACCAATCAGGCAAATAATAGAAAGAAGCGGGCTACAAGAGATCAAGAATCATTTCACCATTTCCTCGAGGTGTGAATGTCTTGATCACTACTAACGCTCTTATTCAATCAAAATTGTGAAAGACCACTAGGCCTACTAATCCAGAGAGCTAGCCACTAGTCTCCATGCTGCCCTGTCTGTTGTAAGCTGTTATATCTCTGCTCAAGGTTTACCACGAACTGAGCGCTGTTCTTGCTTCAACTAAAGATTAATTAATTCACCATCCACTTGACATGGCGGACCTTGACATGGTGGGCCTACAGGGCAACAAGAAACCAAACAGACAGCATTTGGGGGGGGGACACAGAGCAAGGTTGTTGTTTTTTTACAAAGCCCAACATAGATAGATTTATTACACCACAAGATGGCAACCTTCTTTTGATAGATTGATAGAGAGCAGGGAGGGAAAAGCTTTCCTGCAGAGTCATGCATATATCTTTGCAGGGAGGTCTCATAACCAGTCAAATGACTCATTTTTTACATTTTTAGTCATTTAGCAGACGCTCTTATCCAGAGCGACTTACAGTTTTAGTGAGTGCATACATTTTTCATACTGGCCCCCCGTGGGAATCGAACCCACAACACTGGCGTTGCAAGCGCCATGCTCTACCAACTGAGCTACAGGAGGCCCAGACTCCTCTGTCTTAAGCGTGTTGATATGTTTTAGAATGGGTTGTTATATGTGACCTCAGAACTGCAGGGTAAACTACAAAGCAGGATCAAGGATTTAGCCAGCTAACTTGCCTAAATATTCGGATATATATAAATTAGTAAAACGTTACAAGAGATGACAGGGGGCTAGAGGGGAGGGTGTGGAGAGTTTGGACAGTGACCTGAGGACTACAAAGGTCACCTCTTCACCCTTGAGGAGCATTTAAGCCCCTTAGGTTACAATCGCTAACAGATCCCTTCACCCCCTGCTACCCTCAACCCCCATCAGTCTGCCATGTGCTGTCTGTCACAATACTGTCAGTACTGCAGGATACACAGCTCAGTGTCTTGGTAGTTATCCAACTGGCTCTAATTAGGCCTAAGGCATTTGTCCAGTCCAGCAGGCTTCTCTTAAATGAGAGGTGAGTTTCATTAGAAAGCTAATCAAGGAGGTGATAGTATCTTGAAGTGCCGATAAGAATAGGAAAGTGGTTTAGGGGTCAATAATGATTTTGTTGGTAATGATAATTTGTTACCTATGGAGTTGTGAATGAATATGTCAATAGCTGACAAAGGTTGCCAACAGACAAAAGCTCTATAATGGACAAACACTTTGTCCATCAATATGAACGTATATTCACTAGAAGAAAGCATGATAGCATGATGGCACGTGCTACACATACGAAGCTCTAGTCTAGGTGTAGGCTAGCCAATTAAAAATATGCTTCTCATCTTCCAACAAATATTGATTGGTACATAAACGTTAAGTTTATGTCTCAAAATAATAAGCTGCATAAGCAAATGCAAATAATTGATTAAAAATGACATACCTACAAATACCTGGAATAAAGAGTAGTATTCTGATACAAATTACATGTTATTACACATTACAGTCACTGGCTGTGACAAAATGAGTCCCTACAATCAATGAAAATCTCTACAGATGCAAGTACAGTTGTCACTCAATAATTGTGACAATGGTGAGACCTATCCAAAGTTTCACAGCTGAACTAACTATATTGTGTGTAACGTTATAGTCGTGGCAATACAGGCGTCTATGCATGCAACTCAAGGTCCTGTCAAATGTGACACTGAAAGCTGTGGCATTGTCGTGAAGGCTACATAAGGTTGTGTAATTTCAACAGTGGCCATACATTCAGCAAACCTATACCAGTAGTACGTCATGTGACTGTCTCGATCATCAATACTTTATACGATGCGAGCGATCGGTGGCGAGCAATGAATATCGGTTTGTTTAAACGACACTTACCGGTTGTATGACCCAGAATGTCTCAAGTATAACCTTCTCTCACCGTGCATGCACCATGACTTTTCTCAAAGGGCCAGCTTCCGCTTCCCGGTCGAGGAACAGCCAACCTCTCCAGTTCTGAACAGGGGGGGGGGGAAGGTATCACGCCAGCTAACGGGGACATTGGTGATCTAGTCACTTCGATATTACTAGGTCACAACAATAGCATACATTTGGTGGACTAACTGAAACAAATACGTTTCTATTGATAGAAAACGGCGTGTGAAATTACTTCACATCGATTAGAACCCCTCTGTTCTCTTGAAATGTGCAGTTCCACTGAAGGTGACCTTCAGTCCCTTCGTTCTTGCATGCAGGTACAGAACAGCTGTGGTCCCATGTGCGTCAGGACGTGAGGTGCTCGCACTACACTGTTAAGACACTGGATACACACATACGACTATTTCTATAATCACATTTATATCAACCATTTTTCTACAACAAGCCAGCATCGCCGCTGGCTGCGTTGCTACTAGCTACCCAAGCTAACTATATCTAAGCTAGCTAGCTAGCTAGCTAACGTTAACAAGCTGCATCAAGTCAGCCATACAACAAGGGTTGTGTCTTTGACATACAGCTAGTGAGCTAACAGCTTATCTGGCTACAATCTTCTCATTATCTAAATACTAAGAGTTATTTAATTGTTAGCCAAACTCTCTTGATATAGCCTGAGCTAACCACTTAGCAACATGCTAACGTTAAGTTAGCCAACACAACTACTATCTAGTTAGCAAGTTCAACAGCTCAAGCAAGCTTGAATGGATGGTGTAGCTAGCTGTCATGATTGAATTGAGATTTGACTCATCTTGGTTATAGAAAACTGTTTAATCCTGAGGCCCATTACTGCATGTTTAGGTAGTTTGCTAGCAGACTAATCAACTCATTGACAGATGAGATGACTACTTTGAATTAACTATGCATGTGTGCAGCTAGCTTGCTAACGTTAGCTAGCTAACAGTACTATGTGCACACTTTTGTATAGTTTTCAACCGATGCCGCTGCTAAGCTAGTTAACATTAGTTACCTAGCATTACGATACAGCTTTAACATTTTGCAGGATAGTCTCTGCTATCAAACTTGATAACTACGTAACTAACGTTAGCTAGTTGCTTACCACAAGCACAAGGGTCCTTGTGTGGTGCCTTGGTAGTCTCTTTGCGGTCTGGCGTCTCTCCTGCAAGATCAACTGTGTTAACATTACAGTTGGGTACTGACGCCGGGATGTCATCCGTCTTGCTCACCATTATTTGGCTGTCAGTGTGGCAGCTAGTTAGCTCAAAAGTGGCAACAGAAATCCGTTGTTCAAAATTGCTATATGAATCTGTGAAACGCTCCTTCTTTAGCTAACGGGCTAGCCAGCTACATGCAGAGGGTACGATCTTACAAAAACAAGTCTACAGAGGAAGGAAAGTCAAAGCTGGACATGGTAATCACACGTGGTTTCTCCTCCTCCTGACCTCTCTGCCTTTGCGTTCTTTCCCACCCCCAAAACACAGATAGAACAATGAGACAGATATTTCACTGGATGTATAAATGTGAAGCATCTGGTTGGTATTTCCACTCACTACCAAATATGGTAGTAAGAGGAAGTTCACTGGCGAGCAGTGGGAGAAGATGGAACGAGATGGATTTTGGTCGACATTTAGCAAATGTTCTAATCAATTAAATGTTTTATCTAATTACAGTTTTCTGTTCCCAAAACTAGAATATGTTATGAACAGTGTGGACAAAGTTTTGTAGACTTTACCCTTTGCAAAAGTTGTAAAAAAAATCACTCTGTTTAGGAGTGCAAAGGTAAATTGAGTTATTGCACACGCGCACTTCACAAAGTAGGTGTTCCCTAACGGAAATATGCAGATGAATACTAGAACGCGCCAATAGGATATCGCTAGCGCGTGCATGGCTCTGCCCACCTTGTATGTTCTGTCCACTATGACTCATTTGTTCCCATTGGAAACCATAAGCTGTGGTCTATCTTGGTTTAGTTATAAAAATATTTGCCCAAAACGTCTGGCTACGGAAAGCGCAGTGTGCCAAATAACTTTTTTGAAACGTATTTTTATGAACAGGTGCATCTAGGATCACAAAATGATAATCTGTGATTTTATTTTGGACAGATGCTCTGTGCCCATATGGCATACTGGTATTACGAAATGTATACTTTTTGTATAACATAATTATTTGGTTATTATGGCTATAGGGGTGTGCAACACTTCTGCACTCAATATCAAAGCTGGTGAACCAGGGATATAGGACTGAATAGGTTGACCTTTACCCATATTGACCTACACTTCGAATCAAATCAAATCCAATTTTATTGGCCACATGCGCCGAATACAACAGGTGCAGACATTACAGTGAAATGCTTACTTATAGCCCTTAACTAACAGTGCATTTATTTTTAATAAAAATGTAGAATAAAACAACAAAAAAGTGTTGAGAAAAAAAGAGCAGAAGTAAAATAAAATAACAGTAGGGAGGCTATATATACAGGGGGGTACCGGTGCAGATTCAATGTGCAGGGGCACCGGCTAGTTGAGGTAGTTGAAGTAATATGTACATGTGGGTAGAGTTAAAGTGACTATGCATAAATAATTAACAGAGTAGCAGCAGCGTAAAAATATGGGGTGGCGGGGCAGTGCAAATAGTCCGGGTAGCCATGATTAGCTGTTCAGGAGTCTTATGGCTTGGGGGTAGAAGCTGTTGAGAGGTCTTTTGGACCTAGACTTGGCACTCCGGTACCGCTTGCCGTGCGGTAGCAGAGAGAACAGTCTATGACTAGGGTGGCTGGAGTCTGATTATGTTGTTGTTGATGTTTATAAACTGGGTGGTTCGAGCCCTGAATGCTGATTGGATGACAGCCATGGTATATCAGACCGTATACCATGGGTATGACAAAACATTTATTTTTACTGCTCTAATTACGTTGGTAACCAGTTTATAATGGCAATAAGGCACCTCGGGGGTTTGTGATATTTGGCCAATATACCATATATTGGCCATATACCACACCTCCTCAGGCCTAATTGCTTCAATATAAACATGTATGTATGTATACTGAACAAAAATATAAACGCAACATGCAACAATTTCAAAGATTTAGCTGAGTTGCAGTTCATATAAGGAAATCTGTCAATTGAAATAAATTCATTAGGCCCGATTTCACATGACTGGGAAGGGGCGAAGCCATAGGTGGGCCTGGGAGGGCATAGGCCTACCCACTTGGGAGCCAGTCCAACCCACTGGGGATTCAGGCCCAGCCAATCAGAAGGAGTTTTTCCCCACAAAATGGCTTTATTACAGACAGAAATACTCCTTTCTGGGATCTTTTATTTCAGCTCATGAAACATGTGACCAGCACTTTATATGTTGCGTTTATATTTTTGTTCAGTGTATGTAGTACCTTTAGAAAGTGTTCACACCCCTTGACATTTTGTTGTGTTACAAAGTGGGATTAAAATTGATTTAATTGTCGTTATTTTGTCAACGATCTACACAAAATACTATGTAATATCAAAGTGGAAGAAGAATTCTAACTTTTGTATTTTATGAATGGAAAATTAAACACTCATATCTTGATTAGATAAGTATTCAACCCCCTGAGTCAATACATGCTAGAATCATCTTTAGCAGCGATTACCGCTGTTAGTCTTTCTGGGTATGTCTCTAAGAGCTTTGCACACCTGGATTGTACAATATTCACCCATTATTATTAAAAAAATTCTTCAAGCTCTGTCAAGTTGGTTGTTGATCATTGGTAGACAGCCATTTTCAAGTCTTACCATAGATTTTCATGCCAATTTAAGTAAAAACTGTAACGAGGCCTCTCAGGAACATTCAATGTCGTCTTGGTAAGCAACTGCAGTGTATATTTGTCCTGCTGAAAGGTGAATTTGACTCCCAGTGTCTGTTGGAAAGCAGACTGAACCAAGTTTTACTCTAGGATTTTGCCTGTGCTTAGCTCTATTCCGTTTATTTTTATCAAAAAAAAAAAAAGCATGCCCAAAACGTGATGCAGCGACCACCATGCATGAAAATATGAAGAGTGGTACTCAGTGATGTGTTCTGTTGGATTTGCCCCAAACATAACGCTTTGTATTCAGGACAAAAAGTTCATTTCTTTCCCACATTTGTTTGCAGTATTACTTTAGTGCCTTATTGCAAACATGATGCATGTTTTGGAATATTTTTATTCTGTGCAGACTTCCTTCTTTTCACTCTGTCATTTAGTTAGTTTTGTGGAGCAACTACAGTGAGGGAAAAAAGTATTTGATCCCCTGCTGATTTTGTACGTTTGCCCATTGACAAAGAAATGATCAGTCTATAATTTTAATGGTAGGTTTATTTGAACAGTGAGAGACAGAATAACAACAAAAAAATCCAGAAAAACGCATGTCAAAAATGTTATAAATTGATTTGCATTTTAATGAGGGAAATAAGTATTTGACCCCCTCTCAATCAGAAAGTTTTCTGGCTCCCAGGTGTCTTTTATACAGGTAATGAGCTGATATTAGGAGCACACTCTTAAAGGGAGTGCTCCTAATCTCAGTTTGTTACCTGTATAAAAGACACCTGTCCACAGAAGCAATCAATCAATCAGATTCCAAACTCTCCACCATGACCAAGACCAAATCAAATCAAATCAAATCAAATTTTATTGGTCACATGCGCCGAATACAACAGGTGCAGACATTACAGTGAAATGCTTACTTACAGCCCTTAACCAACAGTGCATTTATTTTAAACAAAAAAGTAAGAATAAAACAACAACAAAAACGTGTTGAGAAAAAAAGAGCAGAAGTAAAATAAAGTGACAGTAGGGAGGCTATATATACAGTAAAATAAAGTGACAGTAGGGAGGCTATATATACAGGGGGGTACCGTTGCATAGTCAATGTGCGGGGGCACCGGCTAGTTGAGGTAGTTGAGGTAATATGTACATGTGGGTAGAGTTAAAGTGACTATGCATAAATACTTAACAGAGTAGCAGCAGCGTAAAAAGGATGGGGTGGGGGGGCAGTGCAAATAGTCCGGGTAGCCATGATTAGCTGTTCAGGAGTCTTATGGCTTGGGGGTAGAAGCTGTTGAGAAGTCTTTTGGACCTAGACTTGGCACTCCGGTACCGCTTGCCGTGCGGTAGCAGAGAGAACAGTCTATGACTAGGGTGGCTGGAGTCTTTGACAATTTTGAGGGCCTTCCTCTGACACCGCCTGGTATAGAGGTCCTGGATGGCAGGGAGCTTTGCCCCAGTGATGTACTGGGCCGTACGCACTACCCTCTGTAGTGCCTTGCGGTCAGAGGCCAAGCAGTTGCCATACCAGGCGGTGATGCAACCAGTCAGGATGCTCTCGATGGTGCAGCTGTAGAATTTTTTGAGGATCTGAGGACCCATGCCAAATCTTTTTAGTCTCCTGAGGGGGAATAGGCTTTGTCGTGCCCTCTTCACGACTGTCTTGGTGTGTTTGGACCATGATAGTTCGTTGGTGATGTGGACACCAAGGAACTTGAAGCTCTCAACCTGTTCCACTACAGCCCCGTCGATGAGAATGGGGGCGTGCTCAGTCCTCTTTTTTTTCCTGTAGTCCACAATCATCTCCTTTGTCTTGGTCACGTTGAGGGAGAGGTTGTTGTCCTGGCACCACACGGCCAGATCTCTGACCTCCTCCCTATAGGCTGTCTCATCGTTGTCGGTGACCAAAGAGCTCTCCAAGGATGTCAGGGACAAGATTGTAGACCTACACAAGGCTGGAATGGGCTATAAAGACCATCGCCAAGCAGCTTGGTGAGAAGGTGACAATAGTTGGTGCGATTATTCGCAAATGGAAGAAACACAAAATAACTGTCAATCTCCCTCGGCCTGGGACTCCATGCAAGATCTCACCTTGTGGAGTTGCAATGATCATGAGAACAGTGAGGAATCAGCCCAGAACTACACGGGAGGATCTTGTCAATGATCTCAAGGCAGCTGGGAACATAGTCACCAAGAAAACAATTGGTAACACACTACGCGTGAAGGACTGAAATCCTGCAGCGCCCGCAAGGTCCCCCTGCTCAAGAAAGCACATATACAGGCCCGTCTGAAATTTGCCAATGAACATCTGAATGATTCAGAGGAGAACTGGGTGAAAGTGTTGTGGTCAGATGAGACCAAAATGGAGCTCTTTGGCATCAACTCAACTCGCCGTGTTTGGAGGAGGAAGAATGCTGCCTATGACACCAAGAACACCATCCCCACCGTCAAACATGGAGGTGGAAACATTATGCTTTGGGGGTGTTTTTCTGCTAAGGGGACAGGACAACTTCACTGCATCAAAGGGACGATGGACGGGGCCATGTACTGTCAAATCTTGGGTGAGAACCTCCTTCCCTTAACCAGGGCATTGAAAATGGGTCGTGGATGGGTATTCCAGCATGACAATGACCCAAAACACACGGCCAAGGCAACAAAGGAGTGGCTCAAGAAGAAGCACATTAA